ACTCTACAGGACCGAGGCACCTTCGGCAAGCCTCTCTGGCCAGCTCCTGAAAATCGTAATTAGGCGCTAGGTCGCCTTCTGAATTGGGTAAAATGCATTTTTTGTATTCAGCTGAACTCCATTTCGTAGAATCCGATCATGCCATGCGATGCTCGAGAAAGCCTAAGACTACCTGCTATATGTGCAGGTCCGTGAGTTACAACCGTCCCAAACGTCAGGTATCCGTTCCCTTGTTCCGCAAATAGAAACCATCCCGCCTGCGCATTCTTACGCGACCAGCTCAACAACACCACCAGCCTCCGTGATCTTCTTCTCCGCTAACTTGCTGACCCATCTTGCTCGGACAACTAGAGGGACTTCGGGAATTCGGCCCTTGCCGAGGACTTTGGAGTAGCCTAGGGGAAGGAGGTCGATAACAGGGACGGTGTCCTTCTTCTCGCCGGACAGGTAAGCATCGCGGGTCTCGGTGGGGATGAGCGACCACAGCTACAATACACCACGTCAGTAAATATATCCAGATATGAATTGCAACAGCTCCGAAACCCTTGTATTGAACAGGAAGCGACGTCCTGCGGTGTTCGGTATTTTACAGTATCTGGAGGGGGCAACATGTATATTGAATTAACGTACCTTGTCGAGGTTGATGACAGGCTTCCAGAATTGGTTCTGTTGCTTGTGGAAGTATCGCATACCGACCTTACCGAAGTAACCGGGATGATATTTGTCGATGTTCGTTCGGTGGTGGTGCTGACCACCGGCCATACCACGACCACCGGGATGCTTGCGGTGCTTACCAACACGACCGTGACCGGCCGAGACGTGGCCACGGCTATCAAATAGTTAGCACACGAATAAGAAATAATAATAAAATCAATTGCTGCTCAATTCGTCGCGCCGGATGCCATATGTATGCCTTTAATTATCATCCTGGCGGATTATCATAGTAGTATCATGCAATCTTCTTAGACACCATCTTCGCATTGCTTTTGGTTGTGTTCTCCTCATGTTGTCCCTCCTCTTCGCTACTACTCGATTGAAATATCCAAAAACCATGGCATGATAAAGGCGAGCCGGCGCGACCATAATTGCAGCAACAAATAATGAATTGAATTCGGTAATAACGTACTGCTTCCTGGTCTTCGACAATCTGGTAGGCATTTTGTCGGATGAGTGGCTTGGTTGTGATGTGTTGAAATTGCCTACTCGAGGTGGGTTGCGAAGATTAGGGCGGGTTTTTGTTGTAATAAGTTTGTGAAATTCTCTTCGTTTAATTTTTTTGGGTAGGGTTTGGCGCTGTGGAGTCCAAGCCACATAAACCTACCTAGGAAATTTTACTAGCCACTGATTATCCCACTTTCACTTCTTGACAACCACCAACAAGCCACACAGAAAAATAAGGTAAACGTCCATTCATGTACCCACATGTACACCTGCATACGGGCACTTCTGTTGTTTCGTCTCAAGCCAATTACATTTCACAATTACAACTTACCGGATAACATTCAGGCTACCAAAGACGGCACATACCCCTTATTCAGTTCCGTTGGAATTGTATGAGAAGATACATAAGGTGCCTATTTAGGGTATACAATCACATATTATATCCAGGGACTATCCTGAAGAACGCATAAACCCTAGTGAACTTGTAGATGGCTTTTAGCATAGATGTACCTGGAGTATTCGAGGCTCGGAGCAGGTGTGACTTTTGTGCAAAGGGTGTATGAGTACGCTCTCGCTGGTTTTGCCGTCGAAAACATAATTAACGTTCTCAACCATCATAAGCCTAAACTCCGCTGCACTTGAATCATTAAAGACTACATATTGAGAACTTGCTCTAACCAGAAGAGTTGCACGAAGTAATTTGTGCTATTCAGGGTTAACCAGTCAACTTCCAACATGGAAGAGATAATAGGAGGAGTCGAGGGAATCGACTTCCATCACCCATATACGCCATATGATGTACAAGAACAATTCATGAACACCACATATAAGGTCTTACAACAAGGAGAAGGCCAAATTGGTATTCTCGAGAGCCCAACTGGCACCGTACGTCGATGTTCAGATCCAACTCTTCTCTACGCTAACATATTCAGGGGAAATCTCTCTCGCTCATATGCGCTGCTCTTACCTGGTTGCGTAACCACAAGAGATCGAAGTTTGAGACTTCAGTTGCTGAGGCTGCCCAGGAGTTTAAGGATGAGCCGGACTGGATTATCGATCAAATGCTAAGGCGGAAGAGAGACGAGATGCTTAAGCAATGGGAAGAAAGAGAGGCGCGGCTGAGAAAAATACGAGCCAAGGAAAAGATGACAGAAGAGAGAGGATCCAAGCGAAGGAGGGTGGAAGATGGTAACACTAGAAAGAGTAAGATTGGTAACGACGATGATGACGATGAGTGGCTATTAGATGAAGACCAGGACGAAGATACATCCCAGGATAGCGATAACCTATCAGGATTCAGCAAGGAGACACGCAATCTCATGAACAAGTTAGGCCTAGGAAGCCTTCAAACCAAAGAAGAGGGCGAGGAGATGGGCGAAAATGAGATCAAGGCACGTTAGCTCGCGGGTACTTCTTATGGCTTAAACTGATTCATCATAGATCTATTATACCTCGAGAACGCATTCGCAGTTGACACAATTCATCTCGGAACTACGCCGACCAAAATTTCCGGCATCGTTACCAGATTCTCTTCTTGGTGATAACTCGAGCACCTCATCGGAAGGCATTAAGCATCTCCCGCTATCTTCCCGTCAACGACTCTGCATCAATCCGTCAGTCTCTCGTCTCGGCTCTCTCTCCGCGATCAACGATCGCTGTACCGAGCTTCAGCAGCCAAAGTCAAAGGATAGGTGCCAATTCGTACCGAATACGGACAACCTAGGTTTAACACATCAGTTTCGAGACAGCGCCCTTGCTACTCTCCCGGATATTGAGGATCTCTTCGAGCTTGGAAAGAAGCTACATGTGTGTCCGTATTACGCCTCACGAACAGCAGTTCCTAGTGCAGAGATCATTACGCTACCCTACCCTTTGCTTTTGCAAAAGACCGCTAGGGATGCCCTCGGTATCAAACTGGAGGGCAACGTAGTTATCGTCGACGAAGCCCATAATATCATGGATGCGGTAGCTAGTGTGTACGCCTCGGAGATCAGCCTGAACGAACTAAAGCGAGCCAGGCAAATGCTTGGTGTGTATGTTAAGAAGTTTGGAAAGAAGCTCAAGGGCGAAAACCGAGTCATGGTTGCGCAAGTCGCCAAGGTTGTGGACGGCCTAAGGGTATGGCTAGAGAGCGCATCGGAATTAAAGGTGAGACATAAACTTCTCATTATTATCAAGTTCTTGGATTGAAACACTAACATGTATGCTCCTAGAGCGACCAAGGAATAGTCGACCCTAACGTCCTTCTAAGGTCCAAGGGCATCGATCAGATTAATATGTATAAACTCATTCAATACATACAAGACTCAAAACTCGCGTATAAAATCGAAGGATATATTGCGCAAGCCGAGTCTCAGGGCGCGGGAGGTGTTTCCTCCACGACACGGTCAACGCCTGTTCTTCATGCTCTCCTCTCATTTCTTGTCTCTTTGAACAACCTGAGCTCTGAGGGTCGTATTTTCTATCACAAAGTTTCCCAGGATGATATCAAGCTCTCTTACCTCCTTCTTTCACCCACGCACGCATTCTCTTCCATAGCATCAAGTGCACGAGCAGTTATTCTTGCCGGCGGCACCATGTCACCATTCGAGGATTACACGGCACATCTTTTCCCGGACTTGGCACAAAACAAAATCACGACTCTCAGCTGCGGCCATGTGATTCCATCATCAAATCTTTGCGTTTGGACATTGTCATCTCCGAGACCAAAGACTGCTACTAGGAACATGGAGTTCGAGTTCAGTTTTCAGAAGCGTAGTGACAAGTCGATGATCTACGAGCTAGGAATCGCGATCCTCAACATCTGTACGGCTGTTCCAGATGGTGTTGTTATTTTCTTCCCTAGCTACGGATATCTTGACGAAGTGGTGTCTGTATGGAGCGAGACCAGTACCGGCCAGCCTAAACCGCTATGGGAGAAACTACAAGCTAAGAAGGCCGTATTCCGCGAGACCAAGGGAGGATCAAGCGACGAAGTGCTAGCGCAGTACAGTGAGGCGATCCTTGGCGAGAGTAACCCCGGCTCTCCACTTAATAGAAACGGAGCCTTATTGTTAAGTGTGGTTGGTGGAAAGATGAGCGAAGGAATCAACTTTTCTGACCGACTAGGCCGTTGTGTGGTGGTGGTCGGGTTACCATATCCGAATATCCATTCGCCGGACTGGAAGGCCCGGATCGAGTACATCGAGTCGACCACATTCGAGCGCATAAAGGCCACCAGTCCGTCCATGTCCAAAAGCGAGGCTCTCGTAGCAGCAAAGCAGACGGCTCGCGATTTCTACGAGAATGCATGTATGCGTGCCGTGAATCAGAGCATCGGGCGCGCTATTCGTCACCGAAACGACTACGCTGCCATTGTGCTAGTTGACCGGCGGTTTGCAGCCGACCGTATTAAAACCAAGTTACCTGGTTGGATCCGTGGTGGCTTGGTCGAGGGGAGCGAAAACGAGGGATTGGGACAGATGATGGGAAAGCTTAGCAGTTTCTTCAGGGGCAAGAAAACGCTGACGGACGCTTAAGATACGTGATGATAGGGGGAAAAAATAGCCATCATCATAATCATAATCATAATTATAGTTTTAGCAGATATGTATCTGGGTAAGGTCCAGATGGTTGTCAAGATGTGTATAACGGTATATGTGCAACCCCTAATACCCCTAATATGTAGCCCCTGAATAGGTACCTATGTACAATACCTCTAGAACATCCCACCATGACCCCGCGCTATGTACCTAGGATATGCTTATCGATAGATACCTAGGAGGTAGCTTCTAACTATTAAGAGGTAGTTACCCTATTAAACAAGACGCGTTCCCCGTCGCGTTATTAATAAATATTTTCTTTATTCTACGTTGTCCGTCACGAATCCGCAAACCTCCCCCTCTTCGGCTGATTCGCTTGCAAATTGGTTTAATCCAATTTTAGAGAGGCTACAAACATCATATCATTCATCAGGATGGCATCCTCACCACGGCACGAGGAGTACCAATACCTCGATCTCGTCCAGAAGATCTTAGATCACGGGGAGCGTCGACCAGACCGGTAAGCTACAGCTTTATCCTCCCTATTTACTGCCCAGCATAGCAAAAGAACCCCCAATATAGAACCAATTTCTAAACCATAACTCCCTTTGTAGAACCGGTACCGGGACATACTCTATCTTCGCCCCCCCACCGCTCAAATTCAGTCTCAACGATAACGGCAAGCCGATTCTACCATTATTAACGACGAAGCGCGTGTTCCTGCGTGCTGTAATCGCGGAACTTCTATGGTTTATCGAGGGAAATACATCATCGACATCGCTCAGCGCTCAAGACGTTAAGATATGGGACGGCAACGGGTCACGGGAATTCCTCGACAACCTGGGACTCAAGGATCGTGAAGTTGGTGATCTAGGCCCCGTCTACGGTTTCCAATGGCGCCACTTCGGTGCTGAGTACGTCGATGCGCGCACAGATTACACCGGCCAAGGCGTCGACCAACTAGCCGATGTCATCCACAAGTTGCGCAATAATCCCTACGACCGCCGCATGATTCTCTCCGCCTGGAACCCGGCCGACCTGAAAAAGATGGTGTTGCCTCCGTGTCATATGTTCGCGCAGTTCTATGTCTCGTTTCCGAGACAGAATAGAGACGGAGAGGACAACGGAGAAGAGAAACCGAAAGGTCATCTTCACTGCCAATTATACCAGCGGTCCTGCGACATGGGACTCGGTGTTCCTTTCAACATTGCGAGCTACGCGCTGCTGACGCATATGCTGGCACATGTCTGCGATCTAGTCCCTGGTAGTCTAACGCACGTTATGGGTGACGCACACGTGTACATCGACCACGTCGACGCCTTGAAAGTGCAGCTAGAACGCGAGCCACGTCCATTCCCAGAGCTACAGATCAAACGCGACAATGATGGCTCTATCGACGGGTGGAAAGTGGAGGACATCTCGGTTCTAAATTACGAACCCCACAAAACGATCCCGATGAAGATGTCTGTTTAGCCTGAGACATAGAATTACTTAACCTAGATGCTAGGAACATCTTGACTATTAGATTTATAGAGGATAAGTACCTAAGGTAGCTTGAGTCAAGATATGGGACGATGATGAATGTATTACGTGGGAATGATAGGTACATGTATATAGGGGATTGGATTTCGTTAGAGGCATAGCCAAGAAACGCGGCGCCGTGAAACTAGAAGAGCTGAATATATTACCTCTCTGTAGGTAGTATATGGACGTAGTAGACCCCGTGTAAAGATGTATCGTTTAAGCATACATATTTTATAAATTTCTCATGTTGATTAACTACTTGTAAATAAACTGTCTTTCAAACAATACCTAGAATATCTACTTTTTTTTTCCAAGTCTATCATTAGTAGGGCTGAATCAAACATTTTGCTAATTACCTCTTACATGAAGTCACAAGTCATAAAGCTAGGTATCAATTGCCCACGATACCAATTACACAATTTCAATTTCTATATCAACTTCTCGCCGTAATGTCAGACGAAAAACCCTCCATCTCCGCCCTTGCAAAGATCGCAGAAAGCGAATCCCAGAACTTACAAGCTCATGCCGATAAAGTTGTATCTCTGGAGTTTTTTGCTGATGATGCTTCTCACCATAAATTATTCAAGGACTTAAAATTCCCCAACCTTGAAAATCTCTGGCTAGATGCCTCAGATTACAATGACGATGCATCTTTGAAACCGTATCTTCAACCTAAGCTGAAGCGCTTTATTTTCTACGGAGGACCCATCTCAGATTCCTTTCTAGACAAGCTACAGGCTTCTTGCCCTCTCCTAGAAGAACTACTCATCGACAACCCGCGGGACCTCATTTCCCCTAAGGGTTTCCTTCAGTTCCTTAATGGCGCTAAAACTCTGAAGCGAATATCAGTTATGTACGGTATGAGCCGAGCCGTAACCGACTCCGTCATTATTGCTCTCGCTACGAAGCCCGGCCTTGAAATTTTAGAGTTCCAGGAACTCATCACTGCGGACCTCGCCTCGAGAATCGTCACAGAACAATCCCGGAACGACGTCGAGGAAAAGCTCCTTCCACAATTTCGTGAATTCATCTGTGTTGCGGAGCCTGGCGGACTTACAAGCCTACTGCCGTATCTATCTAAGCTTACTCGCCTAGAAGCGAATATTGTATATGAAGGCTTTCCTCTGACCACGGTACAGGACCGCGTAGTCCACAACATTGGCTCGCAATGTATTAACCTACAGACTTTGAAGTTGGAATACAGAGCTATAGAGGGTCAACATATTCATATCCCCTCAGAGGCTCTTGTCAAGCTAGCACAGGGGCTTATCAAGTTAGAGGAGCTCGGCATTTCTGGCAATAAAGTCGAAGCTCCAGAATTCGGAGATTCTCAATTTGCCAGTATAATACAAGTCCAGCCGCGCCTCAAGGTCCTACATCTGAAATTCACATGCTACCTCACGGAATCTTCATTAGCAGAGGCTGCCAAGAACGGCGGGATGCGGCTAGAGGAACTCGAACTCAACGGGACCTATAATCTCCTAAACCTAGCAGGTAGTGATGTTTCGTTTCCCCAGTTGTTGTCGCTCGAGCTCGGGCAGCTAGCACCATTACCTGTCACAGATGATGCGATAGCCAGAGAGGCAGCTAACGTTGCTCGACTTCTAAAGAAGATTGCGCCTAGATTGGAGTATTTTGACGTGATGTCTGGGAACACCGTTAGTGATATGGTATCTTACGAGCTGGATGAAATATAACCGAATTACTATACTTAGTAGTATGTGCTTTATTCGTACGCGAGGTATTTCACTCCTGGTCGCTTATACGGACTCAGTTCCTTAGCTCACGAAATATCACACTACGAGAGCAGATGTCGAAGTTCAAGCCACGGCCTCTATATATCATATTAGAACCAATCAAGAAAAAAAAATACATATATGGCGTTAGCAAAGAGTATCGCACGCAATAGCCTGACACGTGTACCTATGTAGGATAGGAGGAGAGACAACCCTTTCCCACTACTCTAATTCTAACGCCCAGCCTAGAAATTTGAGGGTGCCAAGAGATGTCGGTTGTCCTATATTCAAAAGTCGTTAAAGATGTCAGTTTACGCATTGATTCCGCCATCCTATCGTCATTCTCAAAGGAACATGATCCCTGATCTTACTGTTGCTAGAGCCAGACTAACCTGTCAGAATTCCTTCTCCAGAGCTGAATAATATATAGAGGGTGAACCTCTTATCCCGCACCGGATCATCACCAACAGACTCGGGGTGAATAATACATTGGATTCTTCCAGGAGGCAATGGTAAGACGCCTAGCGACAATAAAATCCTAATGCTACTCAACTTCTCTGACGTAATCGTCGTCGAATCCATCAACAACTCACCTACCTAATACAGCTACAAGGCATAATGCGCGTTCAATCGTGGCCCTTCGATACCCCGTCGAAGAGCTACTAGCATGTCGACGGTTCACATGGGGTAGACATAAATGCTAGCGCAATCATGCCTAAAGGAGCCAGAAAGCAGCTATATAAATATCCTCATTATTTTCCCAGCAAAATGCTATATCATGGGCACCTATACTAGTAACTACCTAGCTAACATCAACAACTAGAATCAGTAAACCATGGCTCCCGTAACCGAAATCGTCATCCACACTCTCAAACCAGGCACAGACGTGGAGACTTTCTACAAGCTCTTCGCAGTTATCAAGGAGCACCCGGGCGCCCAAGCTGTGCGTATTTCTACCGTGCACGAGAATCCCGAGCAGGTCGACCTCTTTATCGACTGGGACAGCATCGAGTCGCACCAAGCCCTCCAAGCCCAAACAGAAGCCTACAATGCCTTCATTGACCAGGTCAAGCCACACGTTGCTAAACTCGCTACTGTAGTCCACGCAGAGCTGACTCCGTTCCCGCCCACCGTGCTGGATAATGTCGAGGGCAAGGGTAAATCACCCGTTGCCCAGCTTCTACTCACCTACTTCGCGCCCGACACCGACGCAGCCAAGATATTTACCGAGGGGCAAAGATTCGTCTCTAAGCTGGCTGGCGCGAGCTTCGCGGGCTTGACGGGCGAGTCCTCTCTCGGCTGGACGGTCGAGAAGGACGTCGACTTCAAGGGCGAGAAAACCCGTGTGCTAGTTATTATTCTGGGCTGGGAGAGCGTCCAAGCCCATTTGGAGGCGCGCGAGACAGATGCTTGGAAGAGTATAATTGGCGAGTTCCAGGGCGCTGCAGAGGGCCTTAAGGGCTTTGAGGTCACCCACGTTAGTACTAGGGCTATATAGGGCAGATACTAGGTTAGGTCGATACTTAGAGAGCTCAGTGTCCTCGTGTTAATACATCAGGATGTTGATACATAGATTAACGATTCACGAAGAGAGACCACATTTGCGATACTGCACTGCTTATCCTGCCCCGTCCTGCGTCGATGTGATTTTATTAGGTTTAGTTCTATTAGGTAAAAGGGGGCCATTCGCATGGTCCCCTAAATGTCTAGACTATTAATACAGAAACGGTAGTTTACCTTTCGATTCATCAACTTGAGGAGGTAGCTAGACCTATAAAATATCATACAATCTTCGAATCAGACCCTTCTTTCGTGCTTGCTTCCTTCCCTCCCACCTCTTCGTCTAGAGATTGTCCCCTAACAACCCCTACACCATGGTCAACCATTTCAGACTTCAAGATCGGGGGCCCAGAAAAGTGTTTGCGGCCCCATGCAAAATACCAAATGATACTGATGGCTGCGAACCCTGCAAATACCACACTGGCATAATTCATGGTGGAAGCGTCCAGCCCGGTGAGATTAGTCGGCATGCAGAACAAGAAGATGGCAAGGATAATCCATAGCAGCGTTGTCACGTTGATAATAAGACCAAACCGACCAAGTGAAAATGAAGCATGTTCTAGCTGCTTCCGACCGCCCATAACAGAGACCAGAATTGGCAGTCCGTACGACGTTGAGAGACAGATCGTAGCGACTCCCGTGAAGCTGCTGAATGCTGCCGACGAACCGAAGTAAATGAGGCCTAATAAGCAATCTACAATCGCCGATAGAGTGAGAGCCCATAACGGGATATCGAACCGCTTATCGACCTTACTCCAGAGACCAGAGCCAGGGATGGCGCCGTCGCGTGCAAAAGCGTAAGTACAACGGCTTGAGGCTGTTAAGGCACCAACGCCGGCGAACAACCAAATACCTAGGATAAGGAATAGCAATCCGAAGCCACCCCCGGCACTTCCAGTTGCCGTCTTGAAGATGAGACCAATTGGCTGACCGTTCGCGACGTCAAGGAGCATTTGGACATCCGGTAGCACGAAAAGGACGGGAATTAGATAGATAAGGCCCGTAAGACCGGCCGCCACGACTGACACTATATAGTATTCAGAGTTAGTTGGTTATTATTATTTAAAGCGAGTTAAAAGGATATAATATCGTATAATGGGAATCTCACACGACAAAGGAAAGTGTATATATAATTGTAGATTACTCACAAACAATAGCCTTGGGAACTTCGCGCTCAGGCGACTGTACTTCCTCGCACATGGATGCGACCATACCGTAGCCCGTCAGCACATATGCAGGCTGTAATAGACCGACGAAGAATGACCAGCCGACTGGCCACCCTGACGCCGAGGCATCATAGTGTGCAAACACGAACTCGCCACTTCTCTTGGTCGGCGACATGACCAGGAGAACGATCAAGATGATGACGATGGAGGCACCAGTCCAGTATATGCAGACGGTGTTGATAAGATCCAAATATTTAGAACCAAAAATATTAATCAAGTAGCACACGAGCATAACGGCCCAAAACATAAGGATGGTCTGCCATTCGTTGGCAACAAACTCCTCGTTCCATAGCGAAATGGCACTGAGAATCAATTGCGCACCACCGAAGTTGATAGAGAGGGTGACGGTCCAGTTACCAACCAGCGTCAGCCAACCTGTGGTCCAACTCGCGATCGGGGCCCAGCGAGGCGTTGATAACAGTGCGGCCCAGTAGTAAACACCACCTGCAGTAGGATACACGGAACAGATTTCGGCGAGCGAAGCAGCGATGGCAGTCGAAAGAAGAGAAAGCAGTACCCAGCCCCAGATGACAGTGACGGATTGTCCGTTTGCTAGCGATATGTAAAATGTAGTACTAAGACCGTATGGAACGGCCATCTATTATGTGTATTATGTGTTAGTAACATTGTATGAAGCTATCCAGAAGTTATCTAGAAGTTATCCAGTTATGTGACGACTATTGATATATGAGTCGCGAGACGTCATCGGGATAGGATGCAATATAAATATAGTTCTGCTGGAAAGAAGGAAATATTTATATAACTAGTATATAGTAATACGTACTATCGACTAATTAGTATTTGTCTATGCCAGAATGAGGTTGTGCTTTTTTCTTTTTCTTTTTCTTCTTTTTTCTATACATACCAATAGCAAAGGATAAGCCAAGCACCGAAAGCATACTTAGACTTCGAGGCAACTCGGCCTTGTAACCCATCTTGGCGAGTGCGTCATCTGCTGCTGTCATATCGACAGACCTGCGCAGTCCAGCGCTGGTAATAGATTGCCTCCCCATCGTCAAGTCGTTATGAATGATGAAACATAAAAAGATGATGATACGAAAAAAAAAAAAAAATGGTAGATGAGCACTACGAAGTTTAGGTATGAGTTTGTTAGTATATACACTACAAGGTCCCCTGTCGAGATACTGATAACATGAAGTTCTTATCTCTAAACTAGATCCTTTTCATTAAATACAAGGATACCGTAACTCGATTATCCTGGTTAGACTTATCAGCAATCCATTCCCCAGGAGTTACTATTCCCCAGAGACGAATATGTACATAGTATTTAATTACCGTCCACTAAGCTTGATGCGGCATCGCGTACGGCCTCACTTCTCATCTCAGCTAGCAATCTCTCTTTATCTTCTTTATATTACATAGTATAATTATGAATATATACTGTACATATCTATTAGATGTATATCTAGGTACTAGTAATTATAATTGGAACATAATCCATTTCCATTACAACATCTCGTAATATATTAACTAATAGTTATACGAAATATAACGTACACGAATAATTCTTGTCCAAAACTGAAAGCGACTACAAAACGACGGCAATGTTTAAACACGTACGAACCTGCAAGAATCTCATAGTGAGAGGGGATCTGGGAGGATCTTCGTTAATGAGTCCCGAGATTTCACGATAGTCCAAATTCCCCAAGTTCCCCAAGTTCCCCAAGTTCCCCGCACGCTATTCGCCGTCATCTTACAGGCGCGGCATAATATGAATTCGGCAGCTCTTGAACGTTCACTCGATGGCTCGGCTTAATAAATCGACGAATTTCAACGAGACTCTCGCCCGCGTAGAAATAACTACCTAACATAACCTATTTAGGAGCTTCGATAAGCAAAGAGACTCTGCAGTAATCACAATCATGGCTCCTCGACCCCGTCTGGAAGGCAAGGTCGCAATCGTGACAGGAGGCGCGTCGGGGTTCGGCAAGGGCATCGTAGCTAAATTCGTGGAAGAAGGAGCTCAGATCATCATCGCCGACCTCTCAGAGGAAGCCGGCAGAGCGGCAGCCGAGGAGATCGGGTGTAATTTCGCAGCAGCCGATGTGACGAAGCGCGAGGACTGGGGACGTCTTCTTCAAACGGCTCTGGACACGTTTGGCCAGCTTGACATTGTGGTGAACAATGCCGGAGCGACGTACGCCAATAAGCCTACCGAGGAGGTAACGGATAAAGACTTCGACCTCGTAATGAACGTTAATGTTAAGTCTGTATATATCTCCACTAGCGTTATCGTGCCCTACTTCCTCGAAAATAAGAGACCGGGGAGCTTTATTCAGGTTGCTTCTACCGCCGGTGTTCGACCGCGCCCAAGGCTTACCTGGTATAATGCATCGAAGGCAGCTGTGATTAATGCTACAAAGGTATGGGGAGCCGCCGCTACCATCCTTTTCCTCTGACCCGGCACAGTTTATCTAAATCGTAAATGTTAACCGTGACATATGATAGACGATGGCAGTCGAATATGGACCTCAGCAGATCCGGTTCAACGCGGTCTCTCCGGTCATTGGAAGCACGGGCATGACACACCTATTCATCGGCAAGCCCGACACAGCTGAGAACCGCAAGGCGTTTGAGTCTCTGATACCGCTAGGTAGAGGCTCGACTCCGGATGATGTCGCTAACGCTTGCTGTTACCTAGCTAGCGACGAAGCTGCCTTCATCACCGGAGTCAACATCGAGGTAGATGGAGGGAGATGCGTTTGAGAAATTCCCTCGAGCGACTTATGAAGTCATATTTGAACTTGCGCATAAGGTGATAAGAGTTGATGACTGCTCGGTCCGAATTTATTTTCCGGGAATTGAGCCCGCAATGATGGAGTTGGGTATCATTTTTGTTATTGGCTGTAGTATAAATATTTAGTCGATAACTATACGATATACGATATTTCCCGCATGAAGTGACTAAAATAGAGTCACCTCTTAATTGACTAGGTTTCCCAAGCATTAGACCATTCCGCTACGCGAAACACATCTTATTCCCAGATATTATTTCCCAATCGCTTCTTCAAATCAGAAACTTAACGTGATAAACAGGGTATAACTTGGCCATTTCTGGTTGTGATGAGCATAGGCCCGTCCTCTTCAATGTTCTCCTATTATTGGTCATCTGCATGATGCTTCCTGTTTTACGGTGCGGCGCGTAATATTGGCGTACCCGGCAAGGTGGGTTACGGTAGTTGGCATTTATTGGTATTATATTAAGTCGAAATATGTTGTATCGACCTGCCAAATGGGTAGAATTTCCAACGTCCTTCCGGTATTGCCCCTTTCGGACACTTCACGGCCTCCTTTTCTCCACAGATACCCCACGACAACCCATGAGGCCACGCCGCGCGCTCTCGCATACCGGAAAACCTCTGTGTTCCGCATGTAACGGGCCTGCTTTGTCGCAACAGTGATCGCCGACAGTGGAACGACGGTCCGTTCGAGCTACCTCTGAGATTCCGGGATAGAGGATCACGATTCCAATGGTTACAAACAATGTTGTTGGCGTCTGACCGGTGACATCACTGATAATGCGATCCCGGGACACCGGTACTTGATAATCTATATAAAGTGCCTCTTTGCCGTCTGGGAAATGTTATGCAACACTGAGCACAGCACCATCATCGTTACGGTTAGACTTAGACTTCATAACTACCCCTTGCCCATCATGAAGAACTTCGCCAACATTGTCGCCGTTGCTGCGCTCGCAGCCAACAGCGCTTCCGCTCATTATATCTTCCAGCAGCTCTCGCTCGATGCCACTCAATATGCCCCGTTCGAGTACAGTACGTCCCGCGAAGAGAACCCGTTGCTTTGCCGTTTAGTCAGAAATAGGAGCAAAGACTAATATGATCCGGTTTCAATAGTCCGACAAAACAGCAACTACAACTCTCCTGTTACAGGTACGATCTAAACATATTTTCTCCTTTTCCCGGCTTACACTGAATGTTGTAGATTTGGCTTCGAACGACCTGAGGTGCAATGTTGGTGCCCAGGGTGCCGATACTAAGACGATAGACGTGAAGGCCGGTGAATCATTCACTTTCACACTTGATACCGTATGTAATTCATTTTGTATATGTTTTGTTTATTTGTCTAGTATTATAACTGACTTCTTCGCCAGCCTGTGTACCACCAAGGGCCGATCTCCATGTACGGAATTATCGATGTGCTTTGTATTCTAGCAAATATACTAACAACCAGCCAGCTACATGTCTAAGGCTCCGGGAGCTGCCTCCGACTACGACGGCAGTGGTGAATGGTTCAAGATCAAGGACTTCGGTGAGCCACCTCAAGTGCTTAAGCCCTCGGTACTTCAATTACTAATTCTTATTTATAGCTCCCGACTTCTCGGGTGGCGAAGCTAAGTGGGATATGTCCGGTAAGCATAATTTCCCGCTATAAGGGACACATTTTACGAAAGCAGAAGCTAACAAGGTTATATAGGCTCATACTCGTACACCATCCCATCGTGTATTGAGGACGGCGAGTATCTCTTGCGAATCCAGAGTCTCGCAATCCACAACCCGTACCCTTCTGGCATTCCCCAGTTCTACATCTCTTGCGCCCAGGTCAAGGTGTCCGGTGGCAGTGGTAGCTACAACCCTACGACTGCGCGAATCCCTGGCGCTTTCAAGGAGACCGACCCTGGTTATACCGCGAACGTGCGTTTCCTAAGCCTAAGGCCTTTACGGCGATGATCAGATATGCTAATATTTTATTAGATCTACTCCAACTTCCACGAGTACACTGTCCCCGGCCCTGAGCCCGTAAGTCGCCCCTCAGAGCACATATATGTATGTTCCAAGTACTGACTATTTCTAGATGACTTGCTAGATTCTTTTTGGGTTTTCCGGTGGCTCTATTCGTGGGTTCTAGGGTAAAGGATAGGTACGGGCGAGGCTTGGTGTTTGAAATCGTGGCACTTTTATCATTTTATCTTGCTTGGTAAGCCCTGATACAAGGCTTCCTTACACAACGACATACTTAGATTTAGTGTTAGATAGATGCCATATTAGTTATCAAATATCTCGTTAATGGCAACGCTGTATATCCATCTTACTAAGGAGGCGTAAGCTACGTAGCCAATTTTCCTTTACAATGCCTACGATATAAAGCACAATATGCGTATTTCCAATCAACCAGCTCTTGTCACAAGGTGAAACTAAACAACATAGAAACAACTTCGTTGTTCCGCCAAGAACTCTAATCCTAAATACGAGATTCTGTATCTATACATACCTTTAAGTAAGTACTGAACATGTTCTTTGTTCTAGATGTTTCATATAGAATCCTGGCAGCTCTGTAAACATCGAGTGGGTATTACGCTATGACTCAGGCATATATTCTCTAGCGATGGTTTGCAAACGAACTCAAGCTGCGGAAAGCAGTGCGTATGAAAAGGAGTATTTCAAACGCAGCAGGATAGGATGATGATGATGTGGTTTATCCCCCTTCCTTCGCCTCTGTTTACCAATCAAATTACAATAGGTCACCTACTATTAAAGCAAGTGTTTTTATTAGGCTTCTTGTCCCATTCCACTTAGGATCATAAACGAATATTCCAGTTATCACATTAAACTTAAAGCTATAAAATTATGGTAACGGTTAAATAAATGTTTTAATAGAAAGCTTGCTAGAATATACTAACTCCAGGCCTCAAGGGAATGCGTTGTATTAATTTTGTTTCATATTTCGTTTCCTGTCCAAATAGCAGTGAGGATCTCAATAGCATCTGGTGATCTTCCTATGAGAGATAGCCATCCTCTTAGAGGCTAAGCCGGATACTTATTATAGAAAGCTAGAATGGAAACAAAAGACTTAGTCATTCCAAGGAAACAATTTCTCTTCATAAGAGGCAGGTAGGAACGTAAAAGACCTATCGCAAAGGGCTATAACCTAGTCATTCTATGTGTAATATTCTAAAAGACATTGTTTCTTTTCCATGTTGAATACCTAGCCATCGCGATTATGAAACTTCGAATCACGCTCTTTAACTGTTTGATAGTAAGATATGTAAATTTTGTAAAGCTGCAGTAGAGTCATACACGCGCCCTACGATGGATTTCAAGTTAATCGTTATGGTTTTCAATACATTGCATAACTACATAGCAATCTAAGGGAAAAGAAAGCAACTCGTATCGGCCTGGTCATGTCGCCGCCAAAGACAGCGAAGGCAGTCCAGGGTTTGAATAAGGCTGAGCAACTAGGAGTCCAACTAAGCCATTGCCTACCTTGATTAGACCCAACTACTGTCATGATGACATGCTGCCTCTAGCAAGCAGATGATCGTGACCCCCATCAACGCATCAGCCTACCTCCCCTCAACTCCCCGGATAGAAATCGCCTCAAACAAACAGACTACATAAACACGACAACACGCAATCCGTCTGCCCACGGTGGCGAATTCAGCGCCACAGTTGTAGAAACAAGGCGTCAGGCTACCGCTTCTTCAAGTGTGATACAGCCCCTCTACATCCCTCCCAAAAGAACGAGGCCTCTCACGCCCACGCGCACGGACAAATACGTAGAAATCAACACAGAAGCGAAGGGAACGGCCGGGACATGTCGACTGCATACCCACTATACATACATCCACTCGTAGATAACTAGGCAGCCGTCACGCGGCAGCTAAGTGACTAATACTCCCGCACTCCGAATTCGATGGTCCCCCGTGGACGCGACGACAGGGCGCATAGCCATGGGGGTCGTGGGTGTGGATGGGTTGTGTATTGTATGTATGTACCCCGGGTACGACCGTACGTATATATACCGGGGAGGGGCAGGGATTTCTGACGGCTTGCCTTACATACATATGCCGGGCTTATATATACATACTGTGTTGGGTATAAGCTGCTCTTTCTACATAAGCCTTTCCCGCTCTAGGAATCTCTATACGACTACACAATACTACATAATCATGAGTAAATCACAATCGTAGATGAGATGGTAGTATAGTCCGGAACCGGAACTCCTAGTATCTTGATACTTGGTCAATGAGAGGACTTGCAAAGGTTTGGAGTTAGAGTAGAGAACTCATATACTTACTCGACAGCCGAGTAACCCAAGTAGGCCAATACACGTTCAGGGCCGAAATCTGACGAACTTCGAAAGCTGTTAACGAATATGGATACCCACACTTCTTTTTGTGTATACTATTATATATGTGACAAAAGCGAATAGCTACATGCTAACACCAAGAGCTTCCATTGGATAGATCTATTATATCCCGCTCAAAGTTGGGTGGCCTATCGCCTGATTCTGAGACTTTTTGTTTCCGCTATATCCAACTTAACATGTAACTCAGTCTTATATAACACAAGGCCTGCTTATGTCGATAGTGACATCCCTCTTGCACATAACCGGCGTCTAAGGAAGGCAATATCACCACATTCCATGTAGTCATATGTCTCTCATACTCCTCGGGGCCACTTGCGTTTATTATAATTCTTAGAATGATCTTCCAACTTATCTCTAAATAGGCAGGTCGGGCTTCAACGTTGCCGCTGGGTTGGACGAATCCGCCTTTTCTTATACGAGACTCATATTGCCCACCTTCCTCCCGTGGACGTATCACCCTTGATAGAACCTGCACGTCATGTAGACATGCAGCGTTATATGACTTTCTTACTGCTGGTTTCTCTTTGCTTTTGCGTGTCCTGTATGGGGGACTCTTGTGGAAAAACATGGATCTAGCAGACGGGCGAATATCTCTGATTATGTACCGGGTTAGGTTACACCATGGCCGTCCAGGAACCTAACTCAGGATCAGGATGGTACCGAACACCAACGGACGTACGATACATCTAAGAACCGAGACTATCGGATGTGACCACTGCCAATCTGTGGCGAAAGAGCTTAACCTAGAACTAGTAGGTTCGTTTAATGAGCGACGGTATGTACTCTCTGCGGAGACGACGGATACTAGAACGCGTTCTGCACGCATTACAGGTGCAAGAGCTTGCGTATGTCTCATCGTATCCATACTGCATGTGCATGGTTGATGGAGGGCTACTGTGGGGATGGTGCATCATGAGATAGCCAGGCCAAGCTCAAGAGGGTGCAGGGGCCCTAGGCTATGCAAGAAGTAGTGGAATCTCGCAGATCAGAGGATCTCGACGGTCTTGACAGTCGATCAGATTTGCACCCTTGCAGGACCGAACCCTGTTCGGATAATCGGGAGACGAGGATAACTTGTTGCACTGCAGCGGAGAGAAAAGGGTGTCAAGGATGTTTAAGCATAAGACAACAGCGTCATGGGATGTAGACCCATTTTGGTTGAAGTATACGAGAACGGAAATTAATGGACGATCCTTCGCAATTTGATAGATGAAAGTTGGGGGGCTCTGTTAGAAATGGAGAATTCGGCGATAGTACAAGAGATTAAAAGATAGCCGCAATATTGTTTGACAACATTATGTTTAGGAGACTACTCGCAAAGCTTGTTCGGCAACCTAGGTTCCTTAAGCTGGGTTCTAAGCAAAGGTGAAAGCTTTGATGGTAGCAGCCTTGTTATTGATAGGGCATCTTTAAACGACCCCCGAAGAAAATAGACATTTTGCATACCTGACTTGAGAAATCGTACGCTAGGAGACAGAAATCGAGCAGACCGAAGTATACTATGTATTACCTAGACGTGGTGTATAGCCTGGTGGGAGGATAGCGGGATGCCATATGCAGAACGATGCAACAGGGCTAGACTGCTGACAGGGACTTATGATGGTGTGGAGATTTCATGTGCAGCAGCTCGAAGTGGTGAGTGAAATTGATTGGTGATTTGTTCGCTAGAAAACGGTGTGGCCACACCGTGAACACTTTGGGAGTGGTGGCTGACTGGCTGTACATACAAGGCTGGACTCATACTCGCTTAGGCGGTTAAGCAATCTCCGGAATAACCTCGTTTTTGGAGGGTCATGGGAGATGAATAACGACAATGAAAATGCCCTTGTTCTCCTCGGAGCTGAAATGTCTAGAAAGAGACGGGGTGACTAGCCATATACAATTTCATACTAATATTAACATGGCCATATGACTTTGTGTTAGCAGTAAGCGACTAACCTAGCGCTTAGCTTCTAGACTCGCAAATCGAAACCTGAGCTAGTCGTTCTACATATTACCGACCTGAAGAATAATCAGAATTGATCATTGTTCGACGAAGAGTATCGGGGTGTGGCGATTGGCAACGGCTAAGCGAGGGTCGTGTAAGTCACAGAATCCATACTCCCTTTTGAGGAGTAGTCTGTGATAATGATATATACTGCTAAGAACACTATATGTAGCTACATGCCATATACATGTAGTTATGTTAGATCAGATGTAGAGGCTTATATGATTGGCTGCTTTGAAGAGCGTCGGACTGCTTTTGGTAAAAGATCTCTAGCTCGGCCCAGAGGTTCACCGAGAGCTTCTGGCTCCTAGGGATTGGTGGTGTTCTAAAACAAGGCAGAAGGGTTAGTATTTGGCGAGGAAGAGGATATGACGGAATCAGTACGTGCTGCCTGGGCTAGAGGGGCGTGGTATTGACAAGTAGGTTCCATATTGAAGAATCAAGGCTCTGCCCTCCAAATACTACAGCAGTCGGTAATCATGTCAAATTCCCTGTTTAGCTGATCCCGGTTGCCCCAGATAAACTCTCTTTTGTCGGCAGTTGGGTGATCAATTTTATATGATTGTTTCCCGGGGTTAGGAGCGGATAGGCACGCAACGAGGTCTAAGCAGGGCGAAGAACGGGATGAACCATGACGGCAAGGCGATAACGTCGCATCCGACAACCATAATGACCTCTGCAGCGAAGTATAACCCTGGCTCCGATCACTGTCTGTCACCGTCTGATGATG